AATTTCACACTTTTATTGGGCAGATCGACCCTGAGTCAGCGTGGGAAGTTTGTGCTACGAGACTTGTCCACCATGCTGTAGCAATTAAAGTTCGCAAATCTTTACCTTTTAAACAATTCACTTACGAATATACATTATTTACTAACATGCGTGCTTTTTGTAACTTTTTACAATTTTATTCATTAGCATAAGTATTTGTTTGCGCTAATTTAGCTTAAATAAGCCGAGTACAGTCATACCTCGAAATAATCACTAGCTTGGGAAGCAGGAATCTGGTGATTATAAAAGTTGTGACTATATAAAAGTCAAATTTTATATATTTTATAATAGCTCGAGTTAAAAAAAATATTGTGACTATATCAAAAGTTGTGACTATATCAAGAGTGACTATAACGAGGTTAGACTATATATGTTATATACTTTATATATTTAACTATTTAACCTATTTAACCTATTTAATCTATTTAACCTATTTAACCTATTTAACCTATTTAACCTATTTAACCTATTTAACCTATTTAACCTATTTAAAACTCAATAATTTACAGCACGAATAGATACACAACATCAAGTGCAATCAAATTTTCCAGATATTGACTTCTAATTAGGTTTTATTAGAACTGAGGTTATTGTTATATATAAAATTGCGTTCCCAACATCTTATATTAGTGTACCAAGATAACCAAGATAAGATTATATTTAGCTTCCATATATCTTATCATTTTGTTTTGTTATCTGGGATGACCTTTATGATCTCCGTAATTCTGCATAATGCTGGCCGTCTCCGGAAATTTTTTGTTATTTTCTAATCTAACCTTACACAATTATACAATTATGGCATGTGAAATTTTGTTATTGTTTTTTTTTCAGTACGTACGTACGATAAATAAATAAATAAAAAAACGTATGGGTGCTAGAATTAGGTTTATTTGAGTACGTCATGCAAATATCGTATATACGTATGTATATTTTTTAGTTTAATCGTTTACATGAATTTTAAGACAACAGAGAAATGCAAGAAATTTAGATATGCATGTATGATAGATGTATCTATATATTTAATGCATAAATGCATGCATTTTTCGAAGATTAATGCAACTTTTATTCTGATAATAATTAAATAACTATATTCGCTTTTTTTTTCTTAAATTTCCAGTTACTAATTTACTATGCTGTGTTTAGTTTATTAGATTTTTCATAGCGTAATTTGCAGTTATATCAACCAATTGAATAATAATGGTAGATAGATTAAGCTAATCAGCTTATATCTGTTTTTGGAACCAATAATATAAACAAATAGACAAAAAGGGAAAATTATGCTTCCGAAAGTGAAGAAAAACTTAATTAAAAAAAAGGTGGTTTTTTTTTTTAACATTAATGCCATGCACAAAATTTAAGAAAAATAGGCATTAATTTAACTCCATAAGATTTTCTTAAGTATTAAAAGATTGTAAATAATTGTGAAGTAAATCATCTTAATAACATTTCGAAACACTTAAACAGAATTATGTAAAAAGCGTTTTGCAAATGTATTACAGCAGATTTTCAAAATCGAAAGTTCAAAAGTTTCACAAATACAATGAATGTGTTAGTGTAAATCTCCAATTACCACTGCCTTGTCACCTTTCAAAGACATATTAATTTCTAAAAATAGCAAAAAAATAAATAATTTAACAATGTTTAAATAAGTAAATTATATATTGTAATGTTTGTACGTACGCAAATTATTTTGCGGAACGTTAATAGACCAATAATGAATATAGGAAGTAAATATATATAATGTGGTTTTTGCTGGTTTCTTTTAAAGTTGAGAATCTTATCCTTACCCTGTGTCTACCAAATTTATCCGTCTCCCTTTAACTTACCTTTTGACATTCATTCATTTGTCAAAATGAAGTACAAGGTGATTTATACCCTCCTTAGTTTAATATGGCTTGGTTTTTTGACGTATACCACAACATCAACACCTACAGAACCTGAATTGGAACCTCGAGACAGCTTTCCTAGAAAATATAAACCATGGGAAAAATGGGAAAAATATAATAAAAAATTTTTTTCGCATAAAAAACCAGACAAACATAAATATTCAGGATATAAAAATCCATATTCAGGCAATCAAAATCCATCTTCAGGATATAAAAATCCATCTTCGGGCAATCAAAATCCATCTTCTAAGGGGGGTAAACCTTCATCTTCACCAAACTCCAACCAATCCAACAATAAATCATCAAACTCACCAAACCCACCTAAAAATCAACCATCAAGCAATTCCAATAATAAACCAACAGGTACATGTACATCGGCAGGTAAATCAAATCCAACCGCAACCTATGCCACGAGTGCTACAGGCACTTCGACATCAACCTCAGCTCCTACAAATCTACCACCACTTAACCTATCTAAAGCCGATTCTCCCGATATTTTCGAACCCTTTGGACCGCTAGATTTTAGTAAGGGTCCACAAACTCGTGAATATTCTTTCACATTAAAAAGAACTACCTTAAATCCTGATGGATATAGTCGTGTGGTATGGGCCGTAAATGGAAAGTAAGTTATCAATTCTTGCACAAATTACTTCTCAACTTAAAAAATAAATATATATAAATATATATTTTATTTATTTATTGATTTTATTTTATTTTATTTATTTTATTTATTTATTTTATTTATTTATTTAATCTAAATTAAAATTTTGTTTCTCTCTTTTTTTTTTAAAGGTATCCTGGTCCAATTGTCCGCTGCAACAAAGGAGACACGTTAAAAATAACTGTAAATAATCAGTTTGATGATCCAACAGGAAGTATGTATTACTATAAATATGAATTTTATTTATTTATTATTATTTTTTTTTTACCTAACTTAAAATTAATCTTTCAATTAAAGTTCATATGCATGGAATTTTTATGAATAATATTACATGGTTTGATGGTGTTCCTGGATTGTCTCAATGTCCACAGATAAGCGGATCAACATTTACATATACTTTTCCCGTTAATCAATATGGAACCTATTGGTATCATTCTCATTTCGTAGCTCAATATGTTGACGGATTGAAGGTAATAAAATTATTTTGATTATTAAATAAGATATTAAAATATTATATAGTAATTTCAATGTTTACCAAAAAATTTTGATAATGATCATTAGGGTCCAATTATTGTCCATGATCCAGAAGATCCTTATAAAGATTCATATGATTGTGAATATGTAATGACAATAAGTGATTGGTATCATGAACCGACTGGAAATTTCATGCCCACGTTCCGTAATGGTTAGTATAATATTTTATTATTTTCATTAGTTTTCTGTTAATTTTCATTATTTATTAATTTAATTTTATT